GATACCAACACAAAGAGGGAAAAAACAAAAACAGGGGGACTTTGAGCCCCGCTTGCATTCAGTACATTCACATAATATGACACGGGTCAGGTGATGGTCACATGACCCTCTATGAACAATAGAGCCAATCAAACCTATTGTTAGTCGATGGCCCTCTTTTGCATGTGACTAACCTGTTTGTCCAGGTGGAGGCGGAGCTTATAAGGCTGAGTTCACCTGAAACTAATCAGACTGAAGAAGTCTCTTGGAGGAGAGACGAAACGTTTCACTAAAGAAGAACCATCCAGAGGACCTACTGATTTTTTTCTACCTGATTACTGAGATGCACCAGGCCATTAGTCTGACTTACACATTTATCACTGCTTTATTGCACAATCTCACATTTCTTGTGCATGTTTCTCAGCAGACCTCTGTTCTTCGCACCACAGTGAAAGCAGTGTAGATTGGGATGGAAACAAATGGTGAACGGCACGGCGCAGCGGACCAGAGTGACGCCGCATGCAGTGTAAATTCCTGGTAAAGGTCTACCCACACCATTTCAGCAGGATTGAGGTTTTTTTTTTTTACTTTTTGTTGTCCTCATACACTTTAAAATTAAGAGGATGTACTAACATTAATGTGCACTAACAAATATACGTCATATGTATCTTCATTTTAACATTTTAGACACTTTAGTGTTGTGAGGTCTAATTTTAAAATTTCAATCCGTGAGTTTGAGACAAACGTAATCAGATCCATTAAAGATGTTATATAACGTGGCAAACGCATGTACTGGACTAAAGTCAAGTATTAGACTTAGAAGAAATTATGTGTTTTATGGATTAAAATGAATGGAAGGAGGAAGAGTGCAGCAACCGCAGCAGCAGATTAATAATTCATACCGTAGTTGGTGGTGATACTGGAAACGGCGTCCATATCATCTTTGTTAGGACAGATTGTCTTGCAGCGTTCATGGATCCGTTCCCTCTGGAAAAAAAAAAATCATAAAATGGCAGATTCTGAGTTTCAATTTAACTCTTATGCTAGCAGCTACAACTGTGTTCCAATGAGGCTGTTAAAATCATTACACAATGTGCTCTTCTTTGTTTTCACTAGGTCAAAAATGGTTTTTAATGGTGTTAAAATAAACATTACAACAGGTTACACAACTGATCAAATGAGAGCAATAAAACATTACACCGCAGAAACTAAGAACCATTGGAGGAATGTTTTTCAGTCTTAGCTTATTTTTGTTCTCATTGTGAAAGCTACAGGAGGAAATGAAAACAACACTATGCTGTAGGTAGGTGCTCACAGAAATAAAAAACTAGAGGACTTACAAAAACAGAAGGACAATCTCTTTCAAGTTTCAAAATTACATTGACTCAGTTTTGAAGTGAAACTAGGCCAGGGCGATAAACTGAAAATTAACCGACACCAACATTTATGACAATGACAGATGTCATTTTGCCAATGTCGGCATTTTCTGTATTTAAAAAAATGAGGAAAAGAGAAACCTGCTTGTTTTCTGTTGCGGTCTCGTTGAAGTCGCCCAGTCTGAATGAAACAACGTTAACTCTAACAGATGACCATTTGTTTGATTTGATTTGTTTTATTGATTTAACAGGAAAGGATTATTAAAAATCATGCCTGACTCAGCATATTTGCTGTTTTACAGCAGGTTCCTGTTCTGCAGCACATAAAACACTCAGAATTACAGCATCACAATCACATCATTATACACCATAGACACAAAGACAAACAAGCATACCATTCATATGAAACCAGTTAAACACACCATTCATATAAAACCAAACACAATTAATCCAGGTAATCCACACCACACATGTGTATAAAACTTATTACAGGTTCGTGTGAATGGAAGCAGATAAAACACAAACTCAGCACTGAAAATAAAACAAGTAACCAAATAAATACATAAATTCACAAATAAAATAAACTCATTTTAAGAATAATGAATAAAATCTCAATTTAAGAACACAATATTATATTCTTAAACTTTAACACTTTGTTCAGTTTAATAG